AAAAACGTTTTAATAACAAGCTTTTATGTACTAATGCACTAAGAAGTAGAAAATAAATTATAGACTACTATTTAAATAACTGTCGTCAGTCTAGAGGAAGTGAGTTAAATAAAAGCTTGTAAAAACACACAATGTTTGCTTACAAAATAAAACAATTTATCACTCTAAATAAAATAAAATAAACCGGGAGTGATCTCCCCAAAACTTTCTCGAATATTCTTATATAACTTGGAATATCGACATGATTTTTAATTACTTAAACTTTTAAAAATAGAATAGAATCTCATAGAAAAAAGAATTGCGCACCAAGCGAACGCCAAAACGAAATGTGAATAATAGTGCGCAATATTATTAGTACTTTGTAAATTTACTTGCGGTTTTTTTTTTTGAGAAAAAGGAAATAGCGTAAATTAGTACTTCCGATCAACGAAAATTACTCAAAATTTGACAGAAGGTAGAAAATTATATCTTTTACTTACATATCAAATTTCATTTATCTATCTGAAATAGTACTCAAGTTATAGGCTTTTGAAAAATTCAAAGTAGTAAAAGTACAACTTCCGGTTATCGGAAATCGCTCAAAAGTTGATACGGATCTACGATTTTGATAAAATACTTATATGTGAAATTTCATCAACCTAGCTGTAACGGTACTCAAGTTATCGTGTTTACACACAGACACACAGACACACACACACACAGAGACATACGGACAAGATTGCAAAATTATGTTTTTACGTATCAGAGAGATGTAAAACGTCGAGATTTGCAAAAATCTCGATTTTTTTTTTTGCACGATTACAAGACTCTCTATACTTCGTATATACGAGAAAGTAAAAAATACAAGACCTAAGTAGGTCACAGCATTCATAATCTTTTATTAATACCACTACACGCATACTCTCAAACCATCGACAAATTTATTTACCCCATTCAACCACACACATACTCTCAAACTTATTCCATATACTAAAGTCCATTCACAACAACCACCATTCTTCTTTCTACAAGATACTATTCTATTTTTTAAAGTTTAAGTCATTAAAAATTGATTTAAAATCATGTCTATATCCCGAGTTGCCATCTCCCGTAGTATTATATATAAATATTCGAGAAAGTTTAGGTGAGATCACTCCCGGTTTATTTTATTAGGCTTACATCTTTCTATGGGCTTAAAAGCTTAAGTAGATTCAAATTTTCCTTAATGCGAAAGTGCACCATTTGGCACTAAGTTGTTAACATCCAGTATTTTGGCAACCGGATATTCTGTTTGTTAAAGCCTAGACAAGATCAAGTCTACAAAAAGAGAATGAAATTTGATTTTGCAGGTTGGATAACAAATTCTTTGTGCGGTGTTGAAAAAAACCCATATTAGTGCAGTTATAATGAGATAATCAGTTGTTGTGAACTTAGCATCGAATGCAAAAAGATATCTAGATCTATATAATTTTTTAGAACTTTTTCTTTGTAACCCTAAGCTTAGCTTAGTAGAAAAACATAAAAAGCAGATTGTAGTCACTCTTGTAGACAACATTTGTAGATTTTTATTTAACACAACGTTAAATTTCACAACTTAATCAAAATTATCAAACCAAAGGCAGCCATGCCAAACAAAGCATTACTTAACCTAATGTAGCGTATCGTGGCGAAACGTAGAACTACCAAACCTAACCTAGTGCATCCTATCCCAGCTTAGGTTTACTGTAACGGGTCATTGTAAGGTCAGATTAGAATAGGATAGAATAGTCTAGAACTTGGGGAAAGTGCAACTGCGTGAGTTGATTTCACCCTACAGTGTGTTATGTATTGTAATCCCAAGGTCGAATGCGGGTATAAAAGCGCGAGTGAACGATTGTGAAGAGCAGCGGTTAGTTGGTGGTTGTTTATTCTAGGGCTATTCTGTAATGTGAATATGTGAGACCGAATAAACGTATTGAACGTTAACCCGAGTCGTTCTTGAATTCGAAACTAACCGGGACGTAACAACTGGTGGCCAGTATGAAACAAGTAGAAGCAAAGACCGGAGGCTGCCCTGACGGTCGCCTGATGCTGTCCTAACGTTTGTCTGATACTGTCCTGACGGTCGCCTGATGCTGTCCTGACGGGCGCCTGATGCTGTCTTGACGGTGATGTAGAATGGTTGAGATAGGTCTAGGAGTCATAAACCAGTGTAGCCAGAGAGCGCACAGGGTAGACTCTACAATTTTGGTGTGGAAAGTTCTTAGATTTGGTACGATGCAACTGAGTGCGTATGATTTTTTTGTTACTTACGCGAATGTAATGTGCTAGCTCGAAATTGAAGCAGTCTGTGTGTTTAGTTAAATTCAAATGATGTATTTTTTTAAAGAGGCTGATTAGTAGTCTAATGTATAATCCATGTCGTTAGCAGTTCTGTATATTTTCATTATGTATTCCATTGTATATACAACCTGTCATATACATTCTTTGGAATGTATATTTTTAACTTGTGTACTAGTGTATGCGAATGAAAGGCTTTGTGTTTTCTTTAATTAGCTAGGATGTGTTAGTCAGTATTTGTAGTTATTACTACAAATACTTAGGTGGGGGTAGTGTTACGGGTCATTTGAGGTCAGGTTAGAATAGGGTAGAATAGTCTCGAATTTAGGGGGAAGTGCGTGTGTGAGTTGAGTTCACCCTACTGTGTAGTAACCCCGATGTGTTTATGTATAGTTATCCCAAGGTCGAATGCGGGTATACAAGGGGGAGTGAACGATTGTAGGGGGTCAGCGGTTAGTTGGTAATGTGAGTATTTGAGACCGAATAAACGTATTGAACTTAAACACGAGTCGTTCTTGAGTTGAAACGAATCGGAACGTAACATTTACCTAGCCAAAACTAGCGCAACGTCAAACAACTTATTCTAACTTAAACCTACCTACCCTAACTTTACACAACCCAGCCCATCATTTCGTTAAATCCCTTGTTCAATCTTTCTCATCCTACTCCAGTCCGTATAAAAAACTATAATATATTATAACACACCTTAATTCATTTTAATACAAACTTACCTTAATATAAATGTGTCAATCATATGCTAATATAAACTTGCTTTAACTAACGTAACACAACCTTGCACAAAACTTAATCCAGCATAACCGTACACAAACCAAACCAGCATTTAAAACCCTAGCTCATCCTATCCTAATCTCGCTCAGCTTACAACGATCTAGCCCAGAGGTTCCCAACCTTTTTTTACGCTAGAGCACATTCTAAAATATCTGTAGGGTGGCGGGCACCACCTATTTTAAATCGATAAACTCCTTCCATAACTTGTCATTTTCCCATAATTTATTTTCTTATTTTCTTATAGTCATAATGTATTAATAAATAATAAACAAAAATGTTTCAAAATAATAAAATTATTTGGCATTTTTTTTTAAATTGCATACACACAGAGAAATGTATTTACAAAACGTAAAGATAGTAAAGAAAACACATAAATACAAAGGAAACATTTAATTAATCGGCAAAAATAGTTCTTTAATTTAAACAACTCACCATCAATGAAAGTTTTCTTATTTTTTGCGAGCATGTGAGATATTTTGAAAGAAGCAGTAATGGCCTTTTTAGAATTTTACTCATGTCTAGTGAAAACAGTCTGTTGTGCTGTTAGACTTGATTTTAGATTATAAATCGTTTTTTTTTTTCTTACTTCAGATTTAAGAGGATAATTCACATTAAAAGTGCCATGATTTGTCTGAAAGTGTCGTTCAACGTTATGTTTTTTCGGCACTGCAATGCTACTACCACACAACAAACAAACGCATTTATTTTTCAAATTAACGAAACAATATGATTCCTCCCAGTCAGTGTTAAAATTATAAGCTTTTAGCCTGTTAATTTTATTTTTAGAAAACTCCTAATTTGTGTTTCGTCTGACGAACATGTTTCTTATCTAACTGTCGCGACCCGAACAGGGCAGCAATCACAATGACAACAACGCGGTTCCAGGCGGAGAATTCTTTTTGCCCATCACTCCTTGTACAAGCGGAAAACTCGAAGTTAGCCGTTGATCGCCGAAGCAATCAGAGTTATGTGCGTTGTGATTTGGCGCCTTCGGCGTTTATCGTATCAGTTCGTGGTGTTCGTTCAATTCGTTCACTTCGGGTTTTCTACGTGTACAAGGTGTGATGTGCAAATGGCACTAGCCGTTCCAGGCTAGCGTAAATAGTGCAGTCTGGCTCGCCGCTAGACAAGTCGGGACAAGTATCAAACATATTTAATAAACCCAGGCAGTAAAAAAAATTAAAACTAACAAATGAATAAAAATAAATCATATTTTAAAATAATGTTTATGAAAAAAATTCTGTCTCTGTCGAATAGTGAGAAGTGGGCACATACGAATCGTTCAGCGGGCGCCATGGCGCTCGCGGGCACAGGGTTGGGAACCCCTAATCTAGCCTATTCTAGCTCATTCTACCCCATGGTAGCGTAATATTCCCCATTCTAGACAAATCCATTTTAATATATTACAACACAAACTTACCTTACCTAATATAAAATTGTTTATCACATTCTAACATCAACTTGCTTTACCTCGAGTAACGTTTAATTTGAAATCTTACTATTATATAGATCCTTGTTTTTTCTCAGGTCTTCGTCATTATCAGTCAACTTGTTTGTAAAACAAAAAGTCTTTCTCAACAAACCTCAAGTCTCTTATGTACAGATACTGCGGAGAAAAACGTCTAGTTTGTGATCAATAGAAAAATGAAAGCATTTATGGTAACTTTAACTTGCATTATACTTTCTTTTGTATATATATATATATATATATATATATATATATATATATATATATATATATATATATATATATATATATATGTCTGCATGTGGGTGCGGTTGTCTGTATGTCTGTCTGTGAGTTTGTATTGAATGCATTACTACATTTTCCCCGCCATGAAACATTGGGAAGTTGATGGGAATACTTTGGGGATTTTTAATTGAGCGAAAAAAAAAGTTTTTTCAATTTAGGAATGGCTTGGCCCAGCACGGTGCGAGTTATCTCCCAAAGTTCCCCAGCGGTTGTCTTAGCACCTGGGGTATTTTGATTGGACGTTCTGCACGTGAATATAATCGATTACCTAATATAACCAGGCGCGTCGTCATGTGACCCGGGGGTCGAATGACCCAGTGCGCCCTGGACTCTCTGATGGCGCCTTGGTAGTTTATATTGACATCAAAACCTAAGCATGTTATGCAAGTTGACAGTTTACTAATTTCGATTTTTAAAAAAATCAACAGGTTCACGTCTTATTATTGTCCAGATTCTAAGCAAGTGGATTTAGATGTGTAATATTTGGCCATATTTAATGTCTTCATTTGAATTCAAATTTTCTTGTCGACAGGTACTATTACTACTTTGTGTTGAGTCCACACAAGCGCAATATTGTGAAATTCCTCAATTGCCGTTAGAGAAATACGAGCAAGACTTTGACGCCAGATTCATATCGACACCTCTAGACAGAAACATACCCTTGACGCCGGAATTAAATCAAGGCGACTGTGGCGTGTCTAAAAACGACCAATCAAAGCAGATCGTCAAGGGTCAAGATGCTCCAGCCAACGCTTGGCCCTGGCAGATCAAGTTGATCGGTAGCTCACACATGTGTGGAGGATCTATCATACATCGTGAATGGGTCGTGACGGCAAAACACTGTGCTAAACAAAATGTTGTTTCAATCTACTATGGAAACATCAGTTTTAAAAAGAGTAAAATGATCCGGGCTGTCAAATATTTCACCTACCCGTCTAGCGACATCGCCGTTTACAAACTCTCTTCACCGTTAAATTTTTCAGACTCCGTGCAGCCGATTTGTTTGCCTGAAGACAATGTTTGGGATACCACGCCTTGTTTTGCCACAGGCTGGGGGTTGACATCTATAGAGAAGTATATAATTCCCGACACGCTGCAGCAAATTCGGAGCAGGATAATCAACCAAACCGTATGCCAGGCTGCCCAAACATTTAAGGGATACTTAAGTTATAGAGGGTTTTATTACTGTGTACAGTCTGTGGAGTTCCCTACTGGAGAGTACGCCGGCATCTATTTGGGAGACTCAGGAGGTCCATTGAGCTGCTTGAAGAATGGACGCTACTACCTCGTTGGAGTCGTTAGCAGTGTTAAAGAATCGGACGGAAGTCTGATAAGTTTTTATGCAGCTGTGCCTAGGGCTGTCCCGACTATAATTGCCGGCATGAAAGAAAATGCCTAGCTCATTTGTATGGACCTCAATATGGGAACAGGGCATTACCTCCTGTCAGTTACCTCCAGATATCCCCCTGACAATACCCTCTTGTTCTATTGGACATCCCCCCAGTTCATAGCTTAAGGTACAGTTAGGGAGTGTTGAGAAATCAGAAAAGGTTATGGCTTATGTTAGAGCTAGCTTATGTTAGAGCTAGCGCTAGGGTTATGGTTAGGTTTAAACTAATGTCTAGGGTTGGATTTATTTTCAGACTGAGGTGAATACTTAGTTTAGGCTTTTTCTTAAGGTTGTCATTAGAATAAGGTGTAGGGCTTGAATTGGGGGGGGGGGGTCGTGTTTGGGTTTTGGTTTAGTGTTAGCTTTAATTATCGGCTTGGAGTTTGGGGTTAGGTTTAGGGTCATGATTCTTGAACTATAGGAGAGGGGGGAGGTAGTTACACAGGGGATAATTGACGAGGGGGTAATAGTTCCGAAAGTTAAGGGTAATGTCGGGGGTGGGGGAGGAATAATTTCAGGTGGTAATCGACGTGGGGGAGGGGGTTAATGTCTTAGACCCACTCGCGTAGATTAGATTTTAAAATCCTGCCTGTCTGAATCGGGCAGTGGTCACGGAGATTCAGCTCAAGCAGGACGATCTGTTTTATTCTTAAATTAAATTTTTTATATGTAAAGTAACCGCAGATTTATTATATTTTTAAAAATTATTTTATTCTTTTACGTTTATATTTGTTATGTCGGACGATCCATCTAATGCCCCCCCCCCCCCCCACACACAGCGACTACAACAAGTAACTAAATTGAAGCCGAACATAGCTGATGTCCCAAACTCGTTATATAAAAAGTTTGACACGTTTATTTTTTAAATCATAGATACACGTTTTTCCTAGTATAAAATATTTTAAAACTCTACTCAATATTTTTTTTTGGATACACTTCAAACTAAAGATGCACACAATTCTGCGGGCGCTGAACAAAGTATAATTCAATCATTGTTGCTATTACTGTTTTACATGGAGTTGTGTTTTAATTTTTCTCTCGGATTATTTTTATTTTAGGCTTTTTTTTAGGCAAAAAATATTATTTTATTCGTTACTTACTATTCATAAATAAAAAAGATAAATAAATATTGTGAAATTGTCTTTGTCCTACATCAGATCATTAATTTCGATTCTCGCTTGATCACTTAATTTCGCATTACGTTTATCAAAACGAAATAAACCTGAGTGACCTCCCTAAACTTTCTCGAATATATCCTTCTATAATACAACGGGGGACGGCAACTCGGGATATAGACATTATTTTTACAAGAGTTTATTTAACTCACTTCCTCTGTCGTCAGTTGTCAGTCTGTCTGTCTAGATCGAAATGCTGGAGTGAAAATTCGGACACTTCTACTTGACCGATACGATTCACAGTTGACACGTGGGTCAAGGCATGAAGACAATGCAATCTGAAACTAAATTTGACTTAATTGGATGCCTAATTATTTTTTTATGAGTTAATTAAAATTTGGACCGAATTAGCAGGCATGTCTATCCAACCAAGCCACACGCGTCATCACGTTCAATACCTGAGCTGCGCCATCACGTTCAATAGACGCGCAATGGTTTTTAGTCATGTAACTCTATTGTAAATAAAACATGTAAAGTACTGAAAAAAAAATTCATAAAAAAGGTTTAATAACAAGCTTTTATGTATTAATGCACTAAAAAGTAGAAAATAAATTATAGACTACTATTTAAATAGCTATAAAGAAAAGCGTGGGTCACTTTAGTATCTATTGGATACCTTTACTAATGTTAAGGAAGATAACCACGCTTTTCTTTATAGTTATTTAAATAGTAGTCTATAGTTTATTTTCTACTTTTTAGTGTATTATTACATAAAAGCTTGTTATTAAAACGTTTTTTATGAATTTTTACAAGAATTTATTTAACTCACTTCCTCTGTCTGTCGACAGTCTGTCGTCAGTCTGTCGTCAGTCTGTCTAGATCGAAACGCCGGAGCGAAAATTCGGACACTTCTACTTGACCGATACGATTCACAGTTGACACGTGGGTCAAGGCATGAAGACAATGCAATCTGAAACTAAATTTGACTTAATTGGATGCCTAATTATTTTTTTTATGAGTTAATTAAAATTTGGACCGAATTAGCAGGCATGTCTATCCAACCAAGCCACACGCGTCATCACGTTCAATACCTGCGCCATCAGGTTCAATAGCTGCGCCATCACGTTCAATAGACGCGCAATGGTTTTTAGTCAAGTAACACTATTGTGAATAAAACATGTAAAGTACTGAATTTTTTTTTCATAAAAAACGTTTTCATAACAAGCTTTTATGTGGTAATGCACTGAAAAGTAGAAAATCAATTATACACTACTATAAAAATAACTATAATCCATCCATCCATCCATCCATCCATCCATCCATCCATCCATCCATCCATCCATCCATCCATCCATCCATCCATCCATCCATCCATCCATCCATCCATCCATCCATCCATCCATCCATCCATCCATCCATCCATCCATCCATCCATCCATCCATCCATCCATCCATCCATCCATCCATCCATCCATCCATCCATCCATCCATCCATCCATCCATCCATCCATCCATCCATCCATCCATCCATCCATCCATCCATCCATCCATCCATCCATCCATCCATCCATCCATCCATCCATCCATCCATCCATCCATCCATCCATCCATCCATCCATCCATCCATCCATCCATCCATCCATCCATCCATCCATCCATCCATCCATCCATCCATCCATCCATCCATCCATCCATCCATCCATCCATCCATCCATCCATCCATCCATCCATCCATCCATCCATCCATCCATCCATCCATCCATCCATCCATCCATCCATCCATCCATCCATCCATCCATCCATCCATCCATCCATCCATCCATCCATCCATCCATCCATCCATCCATCCATCCATCCATCCATCCATCCATCCATCCATCCATCCATCCATCCATCCATCCATCCATCCATCCATCCATCCATCCATCCATCCATCCATCCATCCATCCATCCATCCATCCATCCATCCATCCATCCATCCATCCATCCATCCATCCATCCATCCATCCATCCATCCATCCATCCATCCATCCATCCATCCATCCATCCATCCATCCATCCATCCATCCATCCATCCATCCATCCATCCATCCATCCATCCATCCATCCATCCATCCATCCATCCATCCATCCATCCATCCATCCATCCATCCATCCATCCATCCATCCATCCATCCATCCATCCATCCATCCATCCATCCATCCATCCATCCATCCATCCATCCATCCATCCATCCATCCATCCATCCATCCATCCATCCATCCATCCATCCATCCATCCATCCATCCATCCATCCATCCATCCATCCATCCATCCATCCATCCATCCATCCATCCATCCATCCATCCATCCATCCATCCATCCATCCATCCATCCATCCATCCATCCATCCATCCATCCATCCATCCATCCATCCATCCATCCATCCATCCATCCATCCATCCATCCATCCATCCATCCATCCATCCATCCATCCATCCATCCATCCATCCATCCATCCATCCATCCATCCATCCATCCATCCATCCATCCATCCATCCATCCATCCATCCATCCATCCATCCATCCATCCATCCATCCATCCATCCATCCATCCATCCATCCATCCATCCATCCATCCATCCATCCATCCATCCATCCATCCATCCATCCATCCATCCATCCATCCATCCATCCATCCATCCATCCATCCATCCATCCATCCATCCATCCATCCATCCATCCATCCATCCATCCATCCATCCATCCATCCATCCATCCATCCATCCATTCCAAGATGGGGAAATAAAATTTCAACTGATTGTGATTTAGGAGGAGAGTTATTACACGATTAGCTTTTCTTTAATTCGGCTCTCTTGGTAAGCCTATTTGTCAATGTTATTGAAATTTGGAAATTTTCGCAAATTTGAAATAAATAAACCGAGAGTGATCTCCCCTAAACTTTATCGAATATTCTTATATAACACTACTCGGAATATAGACATGATTTTAAATTACTTAAACTTTTTAAAATAGAGTAGAATCTCGTAGAAAAAAGAATTGTGCACCAAACGAACGCCTAAACAAAATATGCATAATAGTGCGGAATATTATTAGCACTTTATAAATTTACATGCGATTTTTGAGAAATTGGAAATAGCGTAAATTACTACTTCCGGTCAACGGAAATTACCCAAAATTCGATAGAAGGTAGAGGATTAGAGCTTTTACTTACAAGTGACATTTCATTTATCTATCTGAAATAGTACTCAAGTTATAGGCTTTTGAAAATTTCAAATTAGAAAAAGTACCATTTCCGGTTATCGGAAATTGCTCAAAAGTTGATACGGATCTACGATTTTGATAACTACGATTTTGATAAAATACACACAGACACACGGACAAAATTGCAAAAATATGTTTTTCCGACTCATGGAGGCGTAAAACGTCTAGATTTGTAAACACCCCCTTGCCTACGCCACTGTATTCCGCACTATTATACACATATTGTTTGGCGTTCACCACTGTTGTAAAGCGAGTTTCTGTACAGGATCGATGCTGAACGTTGAACAATATAGGATGACGATCGAATAGCGAATACTGAACGACGATACGATAGTTCTATCTTTTTTTAATATAAAATATATACAGCTACATTGACGACAGACGCAGACGGGAGACAACTTCTAGACATCCTCACATGACGACAACAAGACTAAGACTGACTCTCTACTATACACCTAACAACCAACACATACTCTCTTACGTCAAATTCTTAATTCTTTTTTTACGCATTCATAATCTTTTATTAATACCACTACACGCATACTCTCAAACCATCGACAAATTTATTTACCCCATTCAACCACACACATACTCTCAAACTCATTCCATATACTAAAGTCCATTCACAACAACCACCATTCTTCTTTCTACGAGATTCTATTCTATTTTTTAAAGTTTAAGTCATTAAAAATTGATTTAAAATCATGTCTATATCCCGAGTTGCCATCCCCCGTAGTATTATATATAAATATTCGAGAAAGTTTAGGTGAGATCACTCCCG